CTTTGTTCTAAAGATACTGTGTTCTAAGTGGCTACTGGGAGGGAGACAGGTAACCCTGTTTACCAATAAGAAATAAAGTATAACCATAGTATCAAAAGCCAGTAAATAGGGAGCAATAGGACAGCTCTTCTCTCCATCTGACATCAAAACTTTCATTCCCTAATTCTACCTCCTATTTTCCCTACCTCCTAAATGCTCAGGAGTAGTGAAATGTCCCCAGAGGCGAAAATTTGAGAGAAGAGACTTGTTGCCGTGGATTTCCTGAATTACTAGAGATTGACCATGCAGTCTTCCTTTGTTAATATGTGCTAACCCGGTGTAAGGGCCAACCATGTGTTTAAAACATCTACGACAATGGAATCAGAAGGTGAACTGATGTCACAGGCCTGTCTGTCCATTGTATTGGGGCTGTCTGAGTCTTTTGGCATAAAAGTGGCATAAACTGTATTTGACCTGATGCTTCCATTTCCAGCCCAAAATGACTCATTATTTCAGATGTTTGGTTTGATCTGAAAGAAAAATGAAAAAGCCAGCTTTGAAAATACAGTTGAGTCTTCAGGAAGGAGAGTTCTAGTATCTGGGGCTTGGTTTTCCATTAGAACTCAGTTTGAAAAAGTCCTGGAAAATGCCTACCGGTCAACATTAAGGGCCACGTAGATTCTTTTTACTTACTCTAACATGACTAAAACATTCTGGCTGTGAAATCTCCATAAAGGTAGTAGTTGGTTCAGAAGTTGTGCTGGATGGTTGGCTCTCTTCACACACACACACACACACACACACACACACACACACACACACACCCAAGAAACTCCTCCCAATGCTTCAGCACCTCTAGAAAGTTAACAATTCAGTCAGATGCTTTTCTTTGAAGGTTGTGATATGAAACATGCAATTCAAAATGTTTCTTAGGGTTTTAGAATCTCTCCATTAGCTCTGTATGTAATTTGTTGTTGTTGTTCAGTCGTTTCCAGCTCCTTGTGACCCTGTTTGTGGTTTTCTTGGCAAAGACACTGGAGTGATTTGCCATTTCCTTTTCCAGCTCATTTCCCAGATGAGGAAACTGAGGAAAGCAAGGTTAAATTACTTGCCCAGGGTGACACAGATAGTAAGTGTCCGAAGCCAGATTTGAACTCAGGAAGATGAATGTTTCTGACTCCAGGCCCAGCACTCTATCCATTGCACCACCTCGCTATCCAATAGAATGTCCCTGTGTGGGCTGAACCACCAATCTTTTGGTTAACGGCAGAATCTGCTTAATCGATTCCCCCACAGAGACAATAACATATGCATTTTAGCAATCACAAATTGTTTGGTTTTCAAGAATCGAAGATGAGTATATTATGTAACCTATTAGCCTTTTTTAGGCTTCCTCTTTACCACTGAAGTCTTAAGTGAAATATGTGTCTGATGAATGAATTCACTCCTCTCTGGGGTCTTGGCATTTAAATGGCAGTGCACATAGGAACACTTATCAAAAGCTGTACAGCCTCTACCCAAACAATATTTAGAAGTTGAATGCAACCCTGGCCAGGAGTTTACTGTTGTGTACCTTTCAAGTTATAGTCTTTTTATTGCTTCTGTATTTTCATTAACGTTAGATTGACAGGAATCAGCACAGCAGATGATGAAGACCATAGTCTTTTAACTGGGTGAAGAGAAGCGATTCTCAGGAAGATTTAAAAGCAACAAAACAAATGGGGCAAAGACAGCTCCTATTATAAGTACATGGCTGCCTCCTGCCATTTCAAAATCCATCCCTGATAAGCTTCCTCACACCCAAACAAAAGGAAAACCTTCACTTCTATTTTACCTTGAAGTCGTGTCCTCCCCTACTCTCTCTGCCTGTGGAAATTCTACCCTATCCTTCAAGATCTAAACATTACCTCCAACTCAGTTTTCCTTAACCCCCAGTCAGAAGTGATCCATGATGCTTTCTCTTACAAAGCACTTTGTACCTCCTGCTCTTATCATACTCTGTTGTATGTTACAGTTTTTACTCTTTTCTAATCTGAACCTGTTTAGGAAGCTCCAGGGTAGGAAAACTCCTTCTAGGAATACAGACTAGCATCCCTTCTGCCCTGACAACTAAGGCCATTTCCTCTGTCCACCAGACCCCACTGCCTGCTTATTGCATATACATAAAATATCTCATATATTTGTGTGTATACATATACATATATACATACAGATTATATATGTATATGTATGTATATGTGCATGTGTGTGTGTATCCCTTCCTAGGCTGTAAGCTTCATGAGGGAAGGGAAGGATTGGTTTAATTATGTTCATGCTTCACCCAGTACATAGTTCTTTGCACATAGTAGAGGCTTAAATGATTGCTGAATGAATGAAATAATTAATGAGTGGATGTGATCTCATCATCACTCAATTAATCCCCTTCCTTCCACCTCCTTACTTTATTTTGAATGGCACTGTAAGTGGTCTTGGGGTACTTGAGAAGGTAGAATCTGGATTTATAGAATATTGAAGCTGGAAGAGACTTCAGCAATCACCTAGTCCATCCATTTTCATTTTATAGACGAGGAACAGAAGTCCTGGAGCTGAAAAAAAACTTGCCCATGTTCACATACTTAAGTTCATGGCAGACTTGGGCCTGAACCAGAGTCTTCTGACTCTTAATCTGGTCATCTTCCCACTATATTGAAAGGATCTTTGAAAACATGTTAATTGCCAGGCTGTGACCCAAAATGGAGGAAAGACTGTTTGACGTGGCCACACCCAAAGTTGGTCATGGACATTCCATGCCTTTCTTTAATTGGGTACATCTCCCCTACAACGTATTTCCTCGTAACCAGCACGTTATATGTTGTAAATACCTCATCACTTAATCATGCCATCATTATTCTGCCATCTTTTTGTTCAGCAATTATATATGCACTTCATTGTGTCTTAGGTCAGTGATGATGAACTCAAATAGAAAATGAGGCCTCTAATCCGTAGATAAAGATCCCTGTGGGCTGCTTATTGACTTAGTTTTAAAATGTAATGTTACCTGTGTTTTATTATATCTTCATTGATTTTGTTGAATATTTCCCAGTTACATTTTAATCTGATTTGGGCTGCACTCAGGAGCATTGTGAGCCGACTGGCCTTGTGTTTGACATTTCTGTCTTAAATTATTAGATTCCTGGAAGAAGGAGCCTGGACCTATGTAGCAGTGCATTAAGCCCTTAAAAATATGTTTTAGATATAAACATAATTATATGAAAAGGGCAAATGTAGAGAAAGAGATATGAGAAGAGTTGGCTGCTGGATCTTTCTGCCTCCTTTGATCTTGAGCCCCTTCTCAGGCTAGTAAGACAGCCACTGCAAGGCCGATGCAGGACAGGAAAGCTCTCGCAGGGCCTTCAAGTCCTTAGTGCTCTTCATTCTGTCTCTTTCGTCTTGTCAGTACACACGGTCTCAGCAGTACTCTTTCATCTTCCTCCCACCCTGACTGAGGCTGACCCTTCCTGCTGTAGACTCCACTGTCCATAAAACTCATTTCTATCTCAGAAAGGAATGGTTGGCTTGTCATGCCCTTTACTCAAAGAAGGTGTTCCTATAGGCCTGCATATACGTACCAGAGGAAAAGAAGTTAAGAAGTTATAGACTTGCCTCTTTGGGCTCCTCTGTCTTATTTCCCATATTAATGTCAGGAATTGGCAGGGACACAGCCTTGTTATTGAAAACCTGTGCCCAACTGAAAACAGTTAGTGACAGTGATTATGTGCAAGCCCAGTGACTGCCAAAATCAGGAATATAAACTGCATGGTGATTTAGCTCTCATGACACATTTGGGACTTGGAAATGTAGTCCATTTTGAGGGGACTTTTATTTGTGCGGCATTGAAGGTTTAGAATTGCCAGAAGTACAACTTGGCTGCCTGAATAATTGATGTAAAGACAAAGGCATCAATAAAGAGTTTAAAAATAATAATGAAGATAGTAATAACTCAGGAGAATGTGTGTCTGTTTATGTGGATTTTCATAAGTCTAAAGTATAATTATTTATTACTTGGTGCAGATCAGAATGTGATTGAATAAAGGGGAAAATGTCCAAAATAATCAAGCTATTACAGCACATAATTTTGAAATACTTTTGGTGAGGAGGGGGAGTGGAATGGGAGGGAGGAAGAAAGAAAGACCTTCTACCCCAGGGGGTGGTGGAATATAGAGTTTAGCTTGAGAAATATAAATCATACAGCAAATGAAAATCAAGATCTTACTGACTTTGTGTTATTACCAAGTGTAGCTTTATAAAGATGAGTATTCCTTAAACAAATTTTGCCATGGATTTGCTCTAAGCTTCCTTTCCTTAGTCTGAGCCATTAATCTTCTTGTTCCTTTGTGCAAGGAGTTTTTCCGTGCCCTTCCGGAGTAGCTGTAACAAAAATTCTCCCTGATCTGGACCCACCTCATCTCTTCTCAACCCTGCCTGAGTTCCCCTGCCCCCGTCATCACATTTTTGTTAGAGGCATTACTGAAAGTCTGAGCTGTCCATTGGAATGAACATTCTGTATCTTACTAAATCCAAAGTGTGTGTTCCTGATCATTGTCCAAAGCTGTGTCTGGATCACCAAGAGAAAATGATGGGAAAGGGACAACTGCTTTTCAGAAATCATCCTGAAGCTAAGCTTCTCTAAAGCTCAAAGTGAGACATGAATAGTACCCTAGATTTAAAGGTATAAGAAATCTTTTGTTGTTGTTCAGTCATGTCCGACTCTTCTTGACCCCACAGACCCCAGCACGCCAATGCTGTCCATGGGACTTTCTTGGCAATGATACTGGAATGGTTTGCCGTTTCTTTCTCCTGTGGATTAAGGCAAACAAAGGTTAAATGACTGGCCCGAGGTCACACAACTAGTAAGTGTCTGAGGCTGGATTTGAACTCAGGTCTTCCTGACTCTAGGTCTAACACTATATCTATCCACTGAGCCACCTAGATGCCTCTAAGAAATTTTAGAGACCATCTAATGTAATCCCTTCATTTTTCAGAAAAGGAAACAACTGAGACCAAGAAAAGTAAAGCATCTTCCATCAAACCCAAATTCATCTCGGCAGTTCACGTTCGGTTAAAAGGTATGAGATGTAGTTCTGCTGTCTTTTCTTTTTCGTCCATGTCTTAAGCCTGCATATCTTGCTTATTTCTTGCCCCAGCTAAAACATTCTGCCCGTCTTCTCCTTGTTCTATGTTGTACTTGTACAAGGTCTCTGCTGATTTTTGCTTGGATCACTTACACATCAAAATACTTTGTACTAACAAAGTGTTTGGCACAAAAAAAGCATAGTTTTAAAGACATGAGTTCTAAGCCATAAGGAGTGGGTTGTGGGAAGGATCATTTTAAGGATTACAGGGCAATAAAGGAAGAGAGAGATAAAACCGCATTTTTATTGAACTGATCTCTTGGAATGAATCTGGATGTTCCACTTTCATCCTACCATTTCTACTATGGTTTCTCAACTTTCCTGCTTTAATTCCCTTGAAGATTTCAGTGAGGAGCAGTGGCAAATCAGAGCTCGCCTTTACTGTTACAGATTTAGAAGCTAAAGTTATTTCCAAATGTAAACTTTTTGGTAAGCCTTTTGTTTAATGAATCATTAATGTGATGATGAAAATGCCCTAATAAAGATAAAGAAACTATAAACTATTCCAAAAGCTGTAGGGGAAAAAATGTGAAGGTCAAGTTAGTCACTCATTTCTCTGCATTTCATTTGGGCGTTGGGCTATATATTCCCATGATCAGTGGTTTATGGGATATATATTGGTCTTTTATTTTACTTTGAAAATGCATGCATGCTTATAAATCAATGTGACTGTCTTACTGTGTGGGCAACGACTCTGTGGGTGGTGATTTTGTAAAAGTGGCATATCAGGTTTCTTTTTCCTCTTGCTCTGCCAGCTCATTAAATGTAGTAGGAGGTGAGAGCAAGGAAATAAATACCTAGATAGACACAAAAGGCAACCAATCTAATTGTTCTCAGAAATGTCAGATGTGCCCATCTGACAGGTAGGATGTCAGGGAGCCCCATGGATGGAGGAGACATTTAGGTTACTTGTGAGAGATTTTTTGATCATAAGAACAATTTGAAAGATTAAAGAGTCCCAAGAAGACAGAAAAAGCTTATTTTACAACCCTGTGGCCCTGAATAAGTCTTTTAATCTACCTTGATTTATTCTTCTTTTTAAGAAAGGGGGGCAATCTACCAGAGGGTTGATGACCATTTTTCTAAATAATTTGAGGAAGACTGCTTTGGTGAATGCAGAATTTTCTATGTCTAGGATTTTTAAAAATATTGAGAGCAGTAGAAATTTGTACCCTTTAAAATATCCTTTGCTGACAACACAGGTGAGTATAGAAAATCTTATTAAAATCAGAATTGAAAAATGATTAATTAGTACCTTTTGTAGGATACAACCCAGAATGCCAGTAATGTATGTTTGAAGGTAGAAGATAAACAGGATTCTGTTCTGGTCTTCTAATCAGTTAATCCTTTTATCTACAATTTGTACCTCGTCTCATGTCAAGAAGTTGTGAAATGTGAATAAATGTATTGATTCAAAGGGAATCTTCCACTAAAGTGTGTGTGTGTGTGTGTGTGTGTGTGTGTGTGTGTGTATATAATATATATTGCCCATATTTTCTCATTACTGGTTGAATCTCATTAATAAAATGTTATTCTTGGCTTTTCCAAAGTGAAATACAATGAAACATTAACTCTTAAAGATTATTATGTGCCTGTTTTCTTTATCACTGTCTTATAATAGAGGGAGTATAATCGAATTTCATGAAGATATCCAGTTTTTCACTTTAGATTTCACTTACTGCATTTTATAATAGGGCATTTCGCTTGAAACCTTGATGTATCCATGCATTTGTGGACCCTCCCTCCACTTTTTATCCCATAAAATTCATGTTTTTCTTCTAATTTCTTGTTCTTCTTGCTATCACTAACATTTCTAGAACTCTACTAGTATAGAAAGAGGATTTCCTCGCTTTGTACTTCAATTTATCAGGAAATCTAGTGTTTTCCCCTTGCAAATAATGCTAGCTTTCAGCTACAGATATTTACTTTTGTTATAATTTAAAGTAGTCCTTCTGCGCTTGATGCTTTGTAGGGTTTTTATCATAAGGTACCTTGTCAAAGGCTTTCCCAATCTGTTGATATAGTAAGAGACAATGTGGCAGAGTGGGTGTAGAGCTAGACTCAAACTAGAAAGTCCTAGGTTCAAGTGCCACCTCTAACACATAGTAGCTTTGTGACCCTGCGCAAGTCACTTAAACTCTTAGTTCTGGGCAGGGAGGCATCAAAGTGAATAGAACACTAGACCTGGAGTGAGGAAGACCCAAGTTTAAATCCAGCCTCACTCATTTACTAACTGTGTGATCCTGGGCAAGTCACTTAACTTCTATTATCTGAGTTTTCTGATGAATAAGATAAGGTAAGGATAATAATAGCACCTACCTGCCAGGGTTGTTGTGAGGATCAGACTCAGTAAAATACTTTGCAAACCTTAAAGCACAATCTAAATGCTAGCTATTATTGTTGTTCTTATTGTTAATGCTAAAGAAGGTACTGAAGGTGCCAACCTAGGTTGAAAGAGAGAAGTTCTTCATCTCATAGTTCCCATTACCAGTGAAACCACAAGTGTCTCCCCAATCCCTACTGAAATCATCATGGGTTTTATTTTTAATATGATTAATTATATTGTTTTCCTAGTGTTTACCCACTCTTGACTTTTCCCCTATCTTTACATAAAATCTTTATAGAGGATTCACCTAATGAAAACTTGAAATGATTCTTTGAACCTTGTGAAGCTGTGTGTCACCCAGGTTATTCATCTGTTGGCTCCTATCTCTAGCCAGTATCATGTCCTAGATGCTTATATCATGCCAGTTTATCAAAGGTAATACACTGCAGGCTACTTAGGTGTTCATCTTTCCATTGCCCTTTGTAATAAGGGCCTTACTTGTAATCAGCTCTACCTTTGATTGATTGTGGCTATATAGCACTACTTTGAAAATAATAATGTTAAAGAAAAGAAATTGAGTAGTTTGTGATCATTGAAAGCAACCCAGAGCTTCCAAATGCAATAGAGCTATTTTCCATATCTAGCTATCTGTCTGTCTGTCTTTGTATCTCTCTATCTCTTGATCGATGTCTATTTACTTATCATATTTACCTATCCATTTCTATTAATGTATCATTTCTATACATACATATCTATCTATCTATCTATGTCTGTCTATCTGTATATATCTATTTCTATCCATATCTATCTACTTATCATATCTACCTATACATTTCTATCAGTGTATTATTTCTATCCATATCTATCTGTCTGTCTCTGTCATCTGTATGTCTTATCTCTCCTATCAAAATGTAAATTCCTTGAGGTTAGAGAATTTCTCACTTATTCTTGGCCTATAATATACACTTAGTAGTGTTTTTTCACTTATTCATACCTTAAATATGTCTGAATATGCCTTAATTGTCTGAACAGTATGCATTTTTCATCTGCCTTTTTCCATTGTAGATGATTAAGCCAAACATCTTAGACTTTTGAAATGTTCTTTTTAAAGTGTATTCATGCATAGATTTTCGAAGTATGAATGATATATATACGTCAAGCACATCAGTTCCTAGATAAAGAAGTTGAGGCCCAGAGAGGTTAAGGAGCTGCCCAAGGTCAAACCAGCTAGCTCATGTTAGGGTCCTCATTGTTCCTAGCCTAGCAAGTTTCTAAATTTCCATTATCCCAAGCTGATAATCCACGAGACCTCGGTATTCTGAAGTGGCACGTATCAGTGACATTTAAATTCTGCAACTCCAAGGAAAATTCCAGGATGCTTTTTAATTAGAAGGCCACATGGTGTAATGGAAAACTCACTGACCTCAGAATGGTAAGACTTGAGTTTGAATGCTGGCTCCCTCACTTACTGATTGTGCGACCTGGGGCAAATGACTTTATCTCCCTGGGCCTCAGTCTCCTCATCTAAAAAAAAGGGGAGGGGGGTTGGGCAAGATGACCTCACAGGCCCCATCTAGTTCTAGATCTAGATTATAGTTCTAGATCTAGAACTATGGTCTTTTTCTAGATCTATTTTCTATGATCCTAGAGATTGTAAAAACAGATACTCTAGGAACAGGGATCTCCTTCTTTCATGGACATTAGAGAAATGGGTATTTGAATGACTTTTAGGCTTCCATTAAATAGAATGGTAGTTATTTTACAAACTAAATGTCGTTGAAACCACAGTCTATATAAATCAGACACTCCTAGGTGACAAAGTCACGTCCTTATCGCCACTTAGTTGATTGAAGGGCTTAGAGGTGAGGATAGGGGGATGGTGGACTTTTTTTCCAGTCACTTGCCATGTAGGTGGCCAGCTTATTCCATTAAGCAGAATGAGTCCCTGATCTCCCGGAGGAGGTCTTGCACCATGAGAAGCACTGAGTTCAAATGCCACCAGGAAGTGGAACATCTAAGACAGAAGGGGACCAGATGAGGATGAGGATGATAATATTACCTCAGTTCTATTTTTTCAAAAGTACTTTTATGGATATTTTTGTTCCACTTGATGTCTCTGTGGGGCACAGATTGGATTTTGCAAGTGAGGAAACTGAGATGTTAAGAAGTGAAATGTCACAGAGGTTGTTAGTTGTAAATCTGGGACTTAGAGTCTTTAGATGGGGACACCTCAAGCATTGCTTTTGCTTTTTCCACTCTCAGGAGCCCCTCTGTTGCTGTTGTCACCTTACTTTAAGCAAACAACAACAACTAACATTTATATAACATTTACTGTGTGATAGACACTGTGCTAAGTTCATTTACAAATATGATCTCATTTGATTCTCACAACCACCCTGGGAGGTAGGTGCTGTTATTATCCCCATTTTACAGATGAGAAAACTGTGGCAAATAGGCTACCTGAAAAGTTTCACAATTATGATCTCGCTTAATCCCCACAACAACACTGGGAGAGAAGGGGCTGTTATTTCCCCATTTTTACAGGTGAGGAAACAGAGACAAACGAAGGTTAAGCCCAGGCTCACACAGCCAATAAGTGTGTCTGAGG